TTTTTTAATCCTCACCCAAAGGCATTTTTCCATATTTTGTTCAGATAGAGTGGGAGGGAGGGAGAGAGAGAGAAACATCGACGTGAAAGGGACACATCAAGTGGTTGCCACCCGCATGACCCAACCAGGGCCGGGGACAAACTGCAACCGAGGTACCTGCCCTTAGTGGGAATCAAACCCGGGTCTCTCTGGACCGCAGGCCGATGCTCTAACCGCTGAGCTACACCGGCCAGGGCGCATATTGGACACTTTCCAGCCGAGTTGCACTCGGGAGTTACAGCCCCCACAGAGCTCAGACTGGGAGGCGCACAGGCACGGGTCTCCCCAGGCCTCCGTGTGAGAAGAGCTGTGTGGAGGCAGGTACGGGGTGTCTTTCAAGTCCAGTAGAGGCACCCAAGTCAGGCTTGTGGTCAGGTTTGAGCATTTCTCTGTGTCTTATACATCACTAAATGGCTTACTGAAAGAAAAAATTCTAAGAGGAAGGATCCAGTAGAGAGAGCAGCTGAAGATGTAGAAGGCAAGACTATTCCTTTAACCAAGAGCCCTGAGTCAGGAGGGGTGGCTAGATGTCCAGACTGGCTTGGTGGGGCAGGAGGAAAGCTGCCTCTTCCAAGAGAAGCAATGGTGAGAAAAAAGAGAACTCGGCTTTAAAGCAGAGCAATGTCTCAAATGTGCAACTGTTTGAGTCTCAGTTCATTCTCTGGCACTGTCTCTACGGTGACACATTTATGAACAGTACTCAGAGTTCTAAAATCTGAGCAGGGATCACATTAAAAGTCACCATTGTCCTGTCCGGCCAGTGTGGTTCAGTTGGTTGAGCATCATCCCATGCATCGAGTTTGTTAGTTTGATTCCTGGTCAGGACACATGCCTGGGTTGTTAAAAAAAAAAAAAAAAAAAAATGTCACCTTTGTCCTTTTTGCAGTTAAAGGTGAAGAGGCTGTGCTAAGAGAATAGTGGACAGCATGGAACCTAGGGTATGTTGTTAATTTTGATCTACAGATTGTCACCACCTCTGTGACACCAGAGTTCTGAGGCAATTGGGTCACTGTCCCCTCCTGCTCCTTTCCCACCCATTCCTGTTGGTTTTCCCTCTCAGGGTTCTGCTCACCCCTTCCCTCTGTGAGGGCCTCCTTTCCATCCTCATAATGGCTGCCTTTAGCATAGGCTTGCTGCTGTCCACAGGGTCTGGTGCTTGGGTCACATGTTCTGGCTCCAGCGCTCATGACTGGACAAGCAAGGCAGAGCTGGGTGGAGCTGTCTTCAGGAAGCACTGCAGTAGCTGGGAGGATGCATCGCATAGGGACAAGCCCTGTGGCAATGGGATGGAGGTCCAGGAATCAGCCGCCAACGGCTGGGCCCTACCATTGCACCTTTGCTGCTTTCTTTCCACATGACTGTCATTTTCTTTCTTTTTTTCTTAAATTTTTTTTTCTTTATTGATTTGAGAGAGAGGAAGAGAGAGAGAGGACATTGATTGGCCGCCTCCTGCATGCCCCCCACTGGGGATTTGGCCCATAACCTGGGCATGTGCCCTGACCGGGAATCAAACTAGTGACCTCTTGGTATATGGGTCGATGCTCAACCACTGAGCCACACTGGTCGGGCATGACTGTCATTTTCATTTAAATCTAAGTACACTATAATTTTAAGGTAATATTTATTTTCATTTTTTCTTTTCCTGTAATAATTTTATCTTTTTTTTGAATTTTCATATTTTTTAGAACAGCTTTACTGAGCTATTCTTCACATACCATAATCCACCTTTTAAAGTGTAAAATTAGTCTTTTTAGTGTATTCAGAGTTGTGCAACCATTGCTACTAATTTCAGAACATTTTCATCACCCTAAAACAAACAAAAAGAACACACCCATATTCATTTACTCCCCACTCCCTTCAGCCTCAGGCAACCACTAATATATTTTCTCATTTTGAACATTCCATATAAATTGAATCATATAACATGTAGCCTTTCATGTCTGGCCAGATAATAATTAAATTAACATGCTTTCAAAGGTTCATCCATGTTCAAGCTATATCAGTAATTCACTTTTATGGCTGAATAATATTCCACTGAATGGATATATCACATCTTATATGTCTGTTCAACAGTTGGACATTTGAGTTGTTCCCACTTTTTGGCTATTATAAGTAATACTGATACGCATATTCATATATAAGATTTTGTATAGACATGTTCAGTCCTCTTGGGTATATACCTAGGAGTGTACTTATTGGCCATTTGTTTATTTTCTTTGGAGAACTGTCTGCTCAGATTCTTTGTCCATGTTGTCTTAAAAGTTTTTTTTTTATAATTCTGGATACAGGCCCCTTAACAGATAATGATTTGCAAATATTTTCTCCCATTCGTGGTTTATCTTTTCAATTTTTTAATGGTATCCACATTTGAAACATACACGTTTTTAACTGTGAAGTACAATTTGTCTAGTTTTTTTTGTTGTTGTTTGTACTTTCGGTGTTACATCTAACAAACCATTGCTAAATCCAGTGGTTCTCAACCTGTGGGTCACGACCCCTTTGGGGGTCAAAAGACCCTTTCACAGGGGTCGCCTAAGACATAACAGTAGCAAAATTACAGTTATGAAGTAGCAACAAAAATAATGTTTATGGTTGGGGGTCACCACAACATGAGGAACTGTATTAAAGGGTCACGGTATTAGGAAAATTGAGAATCACTTAATCCAAGGTTATAGAGATTTAGTCTTGTGTTTTCTTCAAAATGTTTTATGTCCACACTATAATTTTATTTATTTTTTCTTTACTGATTTTTAGAGAAAGGAGAGGGAGAGAGAGAAACATCGATGAGAGCATCGATTGGCCGCCTCCTGCATGCCCCTCACTGGGAATTTGGCCCACAAATTGGGCTTGTACACTGACCGGGAATCGAACTGTCGACCTTTTGGTACATGGGTCGACGCTCAACAACTGAGCGGCCCCGGCGGGGCCACACTATAATTTGAATATTATCTTTAGAGATGTCAAAGACCCTTCTGCCAAAAAGAAAACATATGGTGTCCTTTATTTGCAACTGAGCTAATCACCTAGGAGTTTCTACTTTTGCTACTTCCCAGTCATGTGGTCAGAAAGGATATTAGTTCTAAATATAGTGTGAACAAGTGGACAAAGGAATTTGAATTTGAATACAGTAGTTTAGGAATATTTGCAGAGTTTGTGCTACGTGCGTGGCAGGAAACTAGGTGCTGGGGGCATAACTGAGATTACCCAGACATGCAGAGAGCTCACAGGCTCTCTGCTCTCTGCTAATTAGAGACAATTAGCAACAGAAAGTATAGGGTCACCAGCATTGTAATAGGAGTAGCCCTCACAATGCAGTGGGGTTGGTGTAGACAGCATTCTCCAAAACCACGTGCAAAGGCCAATAGCTGGCAAGATGGTATGTGCTGAGAACTACGAAGAGCTCATATGACTGGGTAAGTGAACAGAAGAGCAAAAAGAGTTCAAGAGAAACACGTTCTGGTGAGAAGTTAGCCAGAAAGGTAAAGTATCTATCATGACCAAAGTATTATGCTAGATGCTGTGGACATAAAGGGCAGACCCAGCTCCTGCAGCCTGTGGCCCATAGTCTTAAGTTCAGAATGATGACCTCACCATCCCTCTTTGATGCTGACCCTAGTTAGTGTAGTTTCACTTCACACAACTACAAGACTAACATTAATAACCTTGGCCTCTCACAGTTTACCAAGCCCTAATGGAAGAAAAATAAGTTTTTTTGTTTTTTTTTAATCCTCACCAGAGGACATTTTTGTATTTATCTTCAGATGGAGCAGGAGGGAGAGTGGGAGAAAGGGAGAGAGAGAGACATTGATGTGAGAGAGAGACATCGAGTGGTTGCCACCCACACGACCCAACCAGGGCCGGGGACCAACTGCAACCGAGGTATGTGCCCTTAGCGGGAACCGAACCTGGGACTCTCCAATCCACAGGCCAACGCTCTAACCACTGTGCGGAACCAGCCAGGGCAGAAAAATGAGTTTTAAACTTGTAGCAACAGAGAAGCTTGGAAAAAGATTATAGTTTAAAGTATCTAAATTATTTATTTAAAGAGTTTTTTTAAAAAACAGGTTGAATACAATTCTAGCCAATCATTTAAAAAAATTACATCTGTGCCCCAGAGAAAATGTAAAACAGCTAAAGTGTTACTATGTTATGGTCTAGTATAAATTTTAAACATAGAAATAATAATAAATTTTAGACTTCACTAGAGCAAATGAAAGGCCACTTATAGTGAAATATTACCAAAGGAACAACAGAAAGCTATAAAAATGAAAAATCTGGTATCTGAATGAATTAGTATTTACTTTTGCATGCAAAATAGGAATAATGTTCAAATTTCACTCAGATACAATTATGCAGATGATTGTGGGAAAACAAGGAGACACATACTTTTTTCTTTTTCCAAATTAGCATTATAGACACCTAGAAAGAAGCAGACCTCTCTTAGAAGTATCAAGTCCCTTATGAAAGAAAATGACAAATAATAAAAGCTACTAATTAAAGCAGGAGAAAATAATATAACCACTCCATGTCCATATATATCTTTACTACTGACAAGGACCTTTCATACATTTTTGATCCTCACAAGTACCCTGGGAGGTAGGCAGGTTTTAGTTATCCATTCTAATAAGGTATTTTCTCCATAAACACTGAAGAATTCCAAGGAAAGCTTGATTTTGAACCCTAATTTTCATGTTTAAAGAGTAAATAAATGTTTTTAGAAAGCTGTTTTTCTTACTTTGGTTTCAGAAATTGCATTAAACATTTCTTTTTTTTTTTGTACAGACAGAGTGGGAGGGAGAGAGAGGAAGAGAGAGAGAGGGAAACATCGATGTGAAAGGGACACACCGAGTGGCTGCCACCCGCACGACCAACCAGGGCCGGGGACAAACTGCAACCAAAGTACATGCCCTTAGCGGGAACCGAACCCGGGTCTCTCTGGACCGCAGTCGGACGCTCTAACCGCTGAGCCAAACCGGCCAGGGCCATTAAACATTTCTTATTTTCATCATCCATCCTTTACAAAGATGATAAGAAATTTCGGAAGTCCACCTTTGAATTCTTTTTGGATTCACTCTGACTAAGTAACATTTTTAGTTGAGAGAAGTGTTTCTTTCTTTTGTTCACATTTTTTGAAGAGCAAGTAGGTGTTGATTGTCCAGATGTAGGTGTTCTGAAAAGAAACAGAAAACTACACTTAGGTATACTGACAAATGATCATTTAAAATATTCTTCCTGCTTAGCCTAAATGACAGCTACTAGAAACATTTTCTACTCTTCTGTATTATGGCCACATATGAGCAGTGGCTGTACCCAGCAGTCATTCCCAAAAACCTCCTCACTAAACAGGCTATGAGCAACATTTAGTTGGTATATTGGGTGGTTCTAGAAGCTTCTATCACACCTGAGAGAGAAGGCTAAAGAAGTGTCATTAGGTTTGAGTTCCCTTTAAGTCTGACATCAAGATTCATGACAATGCTAAGGACTTGGAAGGATCTCAACCTACACATGTAGGTACCATTCCACTGTATCTTCCCCTGAGAATGTAAGCTCCACAGGGCAGGCACTTTCTACTAATTGTATATTCCAGTGCTTTTTAACAATGCGAGGCACAGGGGAGGCCTCTAAATATATCCACCCAATAAATGTGTTCTATCCTCGAAACCCTTATCTGGGGTTTGTCATCCTGACCCCTCTTCTGCCTCCCTATGTATAAGATAAGTGTAAAATATTTTTCTCATTCCTGCATGTCTAAGAGGCCGTCTGATCTAAATACAACAAATTTTCTTTTATCTTCTTATCCAATAAAGTGGAAACTTCCATGATGAATTCCTATCACACCAAATATAAAAACAATTAAATCAAGAATATAGAGAAAACTGGCAAACTCAATTCATTAAACAGAGATAAGTTAGTCCTTTCTGAATTTTGTTATTTATATTAAAGAAACTACCAGACTCGGTTTCTCTTTAGTAACAAATGTTCAAAAATTCCTTTCACAGTTTCTATGGAATTAAATGTATCGACTTATAGCATTGAGGATTGCTAAAAATAAAACATGTGCCTAGTCAGAGTTAATTCCGTATCACTTGACAAATCCCTGTTTAGTTAGATCTCCACAGGAATTGGTTAGGGGAAATAGCAGGAACAAAGGTTGAGAGCAGGAGAGTAAACTGTGAGTTGTTCAGTTTTCCTGACACACGATCAATTAAGGCAAAGTGACACAGGCAGATACACTGGTGCCCGGCAGTGAGGGCTGGAGAGCCCTGCTGCAGCACTGCCCTGCAGGGAAAAGAGTGAGGTGCTTCTAATCAGGGCTGTGCTTCAGGAAGAGATCAGGCTAGAAAGGTGTAAACAGGAGGACTCAGCAAAAGGCGAATAAAGACCTGAACAGATAGCAGCGGTAGGGAGAAAAAGAACAGATATAAACACCATGAAAGTAGGATAGAAACTGGTGGCTACCTGGACAAGGGCCAAGGCAGTAGTTGTCAACTGGACTTGCCATTTCAGGTCAGAATGTCTAGAAGGGCATGTTTATTCACAGAATGGGGAACTTAAGAAGGATGGGCAGCTTTGAGTAGTTAGCGGTGGAGACCTGTAGGGGGATTAAGCAGATATATTTAGCAGATAGCTGGGAACAGGGAGAGGTTGCAAGTAGAGGAACATACCTGGAAGTCACGCGGAGGTGAGAATGAAAGCTATGGGAGTATATGCTACTAGAGAAGAAAAGGGTATGGAAGGAAAAAGGGGGCCAAGGCCTGAACTGCATGGCAAATTTAGGGACTGTATATAACAGGAAATTAGAAGGAATATTCAGGAGTTAATACTGGCAATTCAAATAAGTTAATGAATTAAGATACCTGAAAATCAATGCTGGGCTCTTGCCTTTGGAACCAGACATACTATGATTTAGGTTTGCAGGACTCAGAGTCTTTCTTTCTGGTGTCTTCTGGCTGAGTTTACTCGTAGGAGTGGCAGGATTGCTCTTCAATGCTGATAGGAAGCTTCTACTTTTACCATGATGTTTAACTGTTTTGTTGCATGTTTTACAAGTAATCAGCTACCATACCAAAAGAAGAAATATTTGATGTGATTTCTCTTATAATTTACTGCAATAAAGTACATGTTCATTAAATTCTTGTATGCAAGGGAGTGGACCAGGGTGAGTAACAGAGGCTGACCTTGTGGAGCTTATAGCCTAGCAGCAGGAATCAGACAAAACACAAATTTAAAATGAGAAAATCTCCAATAACAAATCAATGGCTAAACATTTGTATTTAATTTAAAACATCATTTAAAGATAACAAAGTTTCTACTTTCTCAATGTAAAATCATGTTTGTGGGGAATGGAGATTGGGAATGATACCCTTTAACACCTGGATGGTTCTTTTTTTATCCTCACCTGAGGACATTTTTCCATTTTTTTGTTCAGATAGAGTGGAAGGGAGAAAGAGGAAGAGAGAGAGAGAAACATCGACGTGAAAGGGACACATTGAGTGGTCGCCACCCACACAACCCAACCAGGGCCGGGGACAAACTGCAACTGAGGCACATGCCCTTAGTGGAACTGAACCCGGGTCTCTCGGGACCGCAGGCCAACGCACTAACTGCTGAGCCAAACCGGCCAGGGCCTGGATGGTTCTTTTTTTTTTTTTATCCTCACCCGAGGACTTTTTCCATTTTTTGTACAGATAGAGTGGGAGGGGGAGAGAGAGAGAGAGGAAGAGAGAGAGAAACATCGATGTGAAAGGGACACATTGTGTGGCTGCCACCCGCACGACCATCCAGGGCCGGGGACAAACTGTAACCGAGGTACATGCCCTTAGCGGGAACCGAACCCAGGTCTCTCTGGACCGCAGGTGGACGCTCTAACCGCTGAGCCAAACCGGCCAGGGCTGGATGGTTCTTTTTAATAGCAGTAGACATTTAACATTTTTTGCAGATGAACTCCAAGCATTTCCCCAATAAAACATGGCAAAATATTACTAAAAATTTAAATGACCCTTTCAAATCCTTAGAGATTCTGTAAATATAGGTCTAAAGTAACTTATTAAACCAATCAAATGAATTCTCACTTTTTCATACTTCTTTACTTCATTAGCTCTAGAGGTTGTTTTCTTTTCAGGATTAATTTTTCAAGAAATGGTCCATTTTCTAGATAAAAGCCTTTCTTTTGCATAACTGACTCACAATGCACAGCATTCAGCCCAGGCCTCGACAAAATTAATACAAACTAGTTTAACTGAGAAGTACTCTGATGTTCATGAGCAGATGAAAATGAAATTGAAGAGTTGCATGTATCAAAGATCTGTGTAAGTTACTTTATATTCTTTGAAGAGGCTGGATATAGATTAAATAGTCGATTTTATAACAAAGCAAAATGCATTTACTAGTCCAATACTGGTAAACTCCTAAATATGGCAGTTCAATCCAAGTTATTACTAACTGGAATCTTGGGCCAGATATAAATTGTCATAATGTCTAGTGCCCAGCAGTACCTGGTAATCAAGTATCTGATACTAGTCTCTATATAATAAACCACAAGTGATTTGATTTTGGTTGTATTCCATTTTATATCCCCAATATTTAGCATTATTTGGCATAAGATAGACCTTTAATAAAGGTTTAATGAATGAACATAAGATGCACTTACCTTTGTTGGGCATAAACTTAAACACATACTCTGACATGAAGGAGGGGATGGCTGAAGAAGTGACACTGGTACCTAATAAATAAGCTACTGTTGTTTGAAGAAAAGGACCATTAACTGAAAAAATAATTTAGTGGTAGCTGCAGTTCAGGTGAAGTCACACTGGTTTGCTCAAGAAATCCTCCAATTTGTAAAAATAATTATGCTCAACACTGAGATCTGAGAACAACTGAGAACTCATATATGGTTTTAAGTAATTGTAAAAAACGAAAATAAGCTGTACACTTGCCTAAATGGTAATCACTAGAAAATTTTATGTATATATTTTGACAATCTCAATATACTACTACAAATCTCTGAGTTATGTTCAGGCTGATTCTTAACCTCATTCTGAGTGTAAGAAAAACTCTAGTTTAATTGAAATCTTACCAATACACTTTTGGAGTCTTTGTACTTCTCCACAATTTTTGTTTCTTTAAAACTGAGTGCATAATTTCTTGCTTCTCGATTAAGAAGTTTCTGTATTCTGGGTGTCACTTTGGGCTTGGGTTTGAGGCGCACTCGAGAATTGTCCAGAACCAGCAACTGGAAACAGTATGGACATGTTCCTTCAAAAGTGCTTTTAGCGTCTAAAATTATACAAATGAAATTCACGATTCAATAAATCAGAATATTTTGTTACCTAAAACAAACTGCTAATGTTATAGATGTGAAAAAGAAAAGTATATTATTTAATATAGGCAGATATACATTATCCTTAAGCAAACTCAAAATATGAGAATTTATTGAAAAGATAAAATGGCGATAATTTATTTTACAAAACACTATAATTGTATCCATTCATTCCTTTCAGCAACAGACAGGTAATTCCCCACTCTCTTGCTCATTACTTGTACCAAGTAAAAAAGGCTGTATGTCTCATCTATTTTACAAACACATTTATCACAAAATAAGAAAGTTTACTATGACTCTGTTTCTTTTTTAAATAATTAGCACAATTTTGTGTTTTGTATTGAGGTAGCTCTCTCAATACAAGGTAACACACAACAGACTTGCCCCAGACCCTTTATGCAAACAAGAGAGCATTCACTGACCATCTACCATGCTAGGATGTAGAAACACAAATACGAAAGTGAAAGAGTTGCTCTCTTTCAAGAACTCATGTTCTTGGGCAGCCCTACACAAATAAAGATGAGACTGGTATGAACTATAACAGAATATGATGTAAATGCTCTGGAAATTATTAAACTCTGCATGGACCAACCAGAAACACTTCAAAGAGAAGGCTAGAAAAAGTTTGTCATAGATGACTATACCTTCTATCTGTATTTGGAGATGGCACCCATCATAGGTAAAGGTGTTTCAGGTAGAAGTACAGTGAAAAAGAAAGCATGGCTATAGTGGGAAAGGTGAGCATGAAGGTGATGCAGCTGAAAAGGAAGGTGAGCACACCATCTATTTATTCAATGAATATTTACTGATGAGTATATATTGGTATGCTAAGTCCTAGGGATACAATAGCACTGCAAAGAGCTAAGCACCGAGCTTGTAACTTAGCTCTGCCAAATGTAAAATTCATTCATATTTATTGAATGAGTGTTAAGTGTCAGGCACTGTTCTGGGAGCTGGAGACAAAGCAGTGAACAAAGGACAATTAGTGGAGAAAGACAATCAATATAACACCATCAAATGTTAAGTGTTGGGAAGAAAAGAGAAAGACAGGAAAGGTGAGTGGTGATGGAGCTCCCATAATCTTTAAATAAGGTAGCCAGGAAAGGCTTTGTGGAGTGACATTTGCAGAGACCATAGGAAGTGAGGGAGGAAGCCAAGCAGACATGCAAGGTAAAAATTCCAGGCAGAAGAAAGGGTACAGGCCATGACACAGTCCAGTAGTGGTTAAAGTTAAGTGAACAAAAGGGAGAGCAGGTCATACAGATAATGCTGCCTGTGATGTAAGGCTTTGTAGTCCTTTTAAAAGATTTTCACTTTTACTCTGTGATGGGAAGTCACTGGAGAGTTTGTAGCAGAGAAGTAGCATGATCTAGCTTAGGATTTTATTAGGCTCACTTTGGCTGCTAGATTGAGAATGGCCTGTAGAAATGCATGGGAGTTGTTGGGAGTAATCTGGGAGAAAGACTGGTGTCTTGGACCAGGGTATTAAGATGGATGTGATGAAAAGTGGCTAGATTATAGATATATTTAAAAACCAACAGGATTTGCTGGTTTGGGGGTGATTAACTCTAAAGTGGAGTTATTATTTGCTGAAATGGGAGGAGCTGTGTTGAGGACTAAAGCTTAGGTTTTGGCCTAATCATCATTCAAAAGTTGTCAAGAAGGCACATCTGGATATCAACCTAGAGTTCGGGGGAGAGGTCTGGGTTGGGGGGTATAATTTGTAAGTCCTCAGTATGCAAAATTTAAAAGCCATGAGCCTGGATGAAAAACTGTCACCAAGGAAGTGAATGCAACTAGAAAAGAGGTCCAAGGGCAGAGTCCCGGGACACCCCAACATTTATAGAGATTGGGGAAATTAGGAGGAAGGAGTACAGCAGATCAAGATGTACTGACTAAGATAGGATCAAGATAGGAGATGAACTATGTGATGACCTGGAAGTCAAGTGAAGAAACTACTTCGCGAAGACTGACCAATGTGTCAATGCCGCTAACAGATCAGTCAAGTTAAGGCACATTAAACCTCTGGGGGAGAGGGATTAGGGGGGCAGTGGGTCGATCAGATGTCTCTTTTGGATCATTCTGAGTACTATGCGAAACGGGGCGGGGCGATGACAGCCTGACCCACAACCGACCGGCGTTCTCCCTACCGTGTGACGAACTGTAGGCCCAGCTGTAAAAGAGAAAGAGACCCGTGAGGAACGCGGGAACCGCCTCGCCGCTCGCCTCCCGCTTCCCCTCCGTCCACTCTTACAGGAGATAGCGGGCCTGGCCCGGGCAGCTCTCTTGCAGTTTCCGCGCCGCAGCCTCAAGGTAGTGCTTCTGCCTCATCGCCACCGCTGTCTCCGCGACGTGCAGACCCGGTGACAAAAGGAGATTCCGGAAGCTGGATTCCCGGCGTGGCGGACTTTGACGTCGGGACCCAAGCTCCGTCCGGAAACGGGCGCCCTCGCTGAGGAGTTCCGGTCTCTGGCGTCTGTCCGCGCGCCGCCCGATCCTCTCTCCGCCCCGGCCCCGCCTCCGGCCACGCCCCCGGGCTCAGCGTGGTTCCCCCCAGACCCGGGCCCAGGCGGAGCCGCTTGACCCGGCAGTGGTAGCGGGCTAAGGAGCTGAGTGTCCCACCGATTCCTCTGCCTTTCCCTCCTGATAGTCTCCTTTTGATACCCCTGTTGTCATTTCCTCAGCCCATGTCGCCCCCCAGATTCGCGACCCGCTGTGTTGGCTTTGGCCAAGGCAGGTGGATGCAGGGCTGCAAGGAGACCTCCAGTCCAGCCTGCTCTGGGCATGTGCACAAGAGAGATTATCTTTCCTGTTTTCTTTTTCCGTTTTTAATTCACGTGAAATTCACCCAATATAAGGGTAACCATTTTAAGGTGGAAGATTCAGTGGTGTTTGGTACATTTACAGTGTTTTGCAAATACCAATGTTATGTAGTGCGGAAACATTTCTGTCACACTAAAGGAAACGTCATACCCGGTTAGTCGTGGCGCCCCATTCTCCCCTCCCTCCCAACCCCTTGCAACCGCTAGTCGGCTTTGTCTCTATGGATTTACCTATTCTGGACATTTCATATAAGTGGAATCATTCATACTTGTGATCTTTTGCATCTGGCCTCTTCTACTTAGTGTAATTTTCTTTTCTTTGTTGATTTTAGAGAGAGAGGAAGGGAGAGGGAGAGAGACATAGAAGCATCCATGAGAGAGAACATTGACTGGCCGCCTCCTGCATGCCCCCCATTGGGGATCTGGCCCACAACCTGGGCATGTGCCCTGACCAGGAATTGAACCAGCCATCTCTTAGTGCATGGGTCGACGCTAAACCACTGAGCCACACCGGCGAGGCCTTAGTGTAGTATTTTTGAGGTCCTTCACCTTGTAGCATACATTAAAACTTCATTTCTTTTTATGGCTGAATAATATTACATTGTATGTATATACCACATGTTGTTTATTCAGTCATTTGTTTTTGTTGTTGTTTTGTTTTTAAATAATCTTTATTGATTTTAGAGAGGAAGGAAGGGAGAAGAAGAGAGAGAGAGAAACATTGATGAGAGAGAACATTGATTGGCTGTCCCCCACTGGGGATCGGGCCACAATCTGCGCATGTGCCCTGACTGGGAATCAAATTGGTAACCTGGTGCATGGGTGATGCTCAACCACTGAGCCACACCAGCTGGGCTATTCATTCATTTTTTGATGGACATTTGAGTTGTTTCTACCTATTGGCTATTGTGAAATAGTGCTGCTATGAACACAAACATGTATTTGTTTGCGTACTTGTTTTCTATTCTTTTGGATATATACCTCGGAGTGAAATTGCTGGGTAATTCCATGTTTAACAGGAGTTCCAGTTTCTCCATATCCTCACACTCATTTTTTTCACTTTTATTTTTAATTCTAACCATCCTAGTGGTTGTGAAGGGGCATCTCATTGTGGTTTGATTTACATTTCCCTAATGATGTTCAACCTCTTTTCACGTGTTTTCTTGGCAATTTGTGTATCTTAGGAGAGATATCTGTTCTAGTCCTTTGCCCATTTTTATTGATTTTTTAGAGCGAGAGGAAGGAAGGGAGAAAGAAAAACATCCATGTGAGAAACGTCTATTTACTGCCTCCTGCACGCCCCCTAGTGGGGATCGAGCCTGAAATCCAGGCGAGTGTCCGGAACTGGAATCCCACTGGGACCTCTCAGTCCATGGGACCATGCTCAATCCACTGAGCCACACCTGCCGGGCATTTGCCCATTTTTAAATTGGGTCATTTGCCTTTTGTGGTTGAGTTGTAAGAGTTTTTTTTAAAAAGCATATTCTGGATATTAGATCCTTATTTATCCTTCATTTTTAATTTCAGAAAGGAGTCAAATGATACAAAGAGAAAGTATATATTTATACCTATCTAGACATATTTTAATTTTTCAAAAGAAAAGTTATTATGCCCGCTCTTCCCACCTTTCCATCCTACTTTTCTGAGGTGACCAACACTATTAGTTGGGTATCTTCTCCTTCTGTGACCTTACACACATAAATACATGTACAAATGTATAAATACCACCAGTCACCACACATACAAAAACAAAAACAGAAAACCACAAAATAGCAAAAATAGAATGTTACTTCCATACTACATAACTTGCCTTTTTCCTTAACAACAAGCCACAGACATCTTTCCAGGTCATTGTAGATAGTTCTCACATGTGCTTTTTAACAGCTGACAACATTACAAAATGTAATGAACCATAATTTATTTAACCATTTTCCTATTGATGGACATTCAAGTTCTTTTCAGTGCTTTGCTAGTTCAAATAGTGCAGCAACGAACATCTTGTATACACTGATGCTTTTTTTTTTATCCTCACCCGAGGACATTTTTGCGTTTATCTTCAGACAGAGTGAGAGGGAGAGAGGGAGGAAGAGAGAGAAAGAAACATCGTCGTAAGAGAGACACATCGACTGGTTGCCTCCCACACGATCCCACTGAGGTGGGGACAAACTGCCACTGAGGTATGTGCCCTTAGCGGGAACTGAACTGGGACTCTCTGGATTGCAGGCTGACGCTCTAACCACTGGACAAAAACCGCCAGGGCTACACTGGTGCTTTTTAATTTCTTTTGTCTGAATTCCTAAAAGAGAGATTACTGAGTAGAATAATAGGCACATTTTTTTATTTGCCAGATCATCCAGATAAGGTTGTAGCAAGTCACACTCCTAGTCTGAGAAAACTGGGTCAAATTGGATGAGTGAAAAGGTGAAGGGTATTGGTTCACCTAAGGACTAGTGAGATAAAGCCTCCTTTCATATTTTTCTTGATGGTTTGTATTTTCTCTTGTGAAGAGAAATCTTTTGGCCCTGGCCAGTTTGGCTCAGTGGTTAGAGTGTCGGCCTGCGGACCAGAGAGTCCCGGGTTTAGTTCCCACTAGGGGCACATACCTCGGTTGTAGTTTGTCCCTGGTTGTGTGGGTGGCAGCCACTCGATGTGTCTCTCACACATCAATGTTTCTCTCTCTCCCTCCCGCTCTCACTCTATCTGAAGATAAGTGGGAAAAAAAAAGTCCTTGGGTAAGGATAAAAAAAGAGAGAAATCTTTTGTTGGGTTGTTTATCAATTTCTAGGAGTTCTTTGTATTTGGGGGAAATCACCCTCTGCTTGTCATACATAATGCGGTATTTTCTTACTTATCTTTGGCATGGTTGATAGCATTTTTTGCCATACGGAATTTTGCATGTGATCAAACTCTTTTCATTATTGAGTCTGGGTTTTCTGTGGAGCTTAAAAAAGGCCTCATTTATGCCAAGGCTAGATACTATTTATCCAGATGTTTTTCTCATACCTTTCTAGTTTGATTTCTTCCATGAACATCTTTGATCAATATGAAATGTATGTTCACTTCAGTCTAAGGTAGAGCATCTAATTGATTTTTTTCAGATGAAGAGCAAGTTATGCAAAGATCTCTTACTAGGTAAACTTGTCTCTTTCTATTGGAATTGAAGTAAAAAAGGATGCAATAACACTGAATATGTGCCACGCACTTTTCTAAGCATCTTACTTATATTAATTCATGTAATTCTCAGTCTATCATTTGTAAGTTTATTTTAACATAGTTGCATCTGTCTCTAGATTCTTTACCAATAAAGCAGAAGAAAGGCTCTATATGCGCATGTGCATGCCTCTCCGGCTGTCTCTCTTCTCTCTCCTCTGAGCACCACACTCCTATATGCAGAGGCCTCCTCAGCATCATTTCTTGCATCACAACTTGTCTTTGCAGGCTCAGGGGGGCCCAAATTAACACTCTTGATTTCCTCCATCAACCTGCCCCACTGCCCAGGTTCTTCCATCTCAGACCAACAACGCCTCGTTGCTGCTTCCTCTCTCGCTCCTTGTAGCCATTCTGTCCACAGGGCCTCCCAGCTCCCCACCAGAAGCAGATCGAGACTGCCCACTTCTCTTCACTCCTTGGCCACTCTGCTCTTTTGCCTGCGCTCGTACCATGGTCCCTGCGTTCTTGTTTTGCTTCCTTTCTTTCTCCCAGTCCATTCTTCAGAGGGCAAAGTGGCCTTCTTACAATGTCAGTTATTTTGGGGGACATAGCGTGCCCCTGCTCAGAGGCCTCTCCAGCCTCCTCATTCACATGGAACACAAGTGCCTGGCTGTGCTTTCCAGGGTCCCGCGTGGCTGGTCACTGCTTCACTTCAGACCTCGTCGCACCTGCGCACCCTCAACACTGCTCCTGCCACACTGGCCTTGGTGACTCTCCCACTGAATGCAACTATAAAGCCTGGAGAGAATGCACAGAGCACCCAGAAGAAAACTGCAAAGCAAACAGTAACAGGCTGAATGGAGAAGACTTGAGGAACTAAAGGTGAGTTTACCATTTTTGTTGGTCTGATATGTGCTGGCCTGAATGCAGTGCAGCCCGACGCCCGGACGGGGGCATTGGAATGTGTGCAGAGAGAACTCCAGGGGAAGCCCTTTAGCTCTGGCTAACAGGAACCCCCACCCCTTCCCCATTTTCTTGAACCTCATGCCCCAAGCCATTCCCGACTGGCAGCAGCAAAGGCCACAACAGGAGCCAGCAGGAGCCTAAACTCTGAGGAAGAGGAACATTCCTCTCCAACTGACCAATCTCTATTGCTTTTTTCGCCTCTCTGTCCTCTGCCGCTTGACCAAAGATAGGAGCAGTCACAGAATTATACAATGATGGAACAACTTTCTGGCCCTAGCTTCCTGCCTTTAGAACCAAGAGGAGAATTGTGAGGAACTGGAAAGTACTGGGGAGACTGTGAAGAGAGACGTGCTCCTTCATAACTTTATGGGGCAAATCCCATAAAGTTATATATGAACTTCTGGGATCATCACTGAGCTATGCACACATGGATCTGATCAGTATACCAGTGA